TCCCCATACGACTGTCAGCTGATTTCTCAACAGAAACTTTGCAGGCCAGAAGGGAATGGCAAGAAATATTCAAAGTGATGAATAGCAAGAACCTACAACCAAGATTATTTTATCCAGCAAAGCTATCATTCAGAATTGAAGGTCATATAAAGAGCTTCACAGATAAGAAAAAGCTAGAGTTCATCACCACCAAACCAGTATCATATGAAATGCTGAAAGGTATCCTTTAAGAAGAGGAAGAAGAAGAAAAAGGTAAAGATACAAATTATGAACAACAAATACATATCTATCAACAAGTGAATATAAAAATCAAGTGATTAAAAAACCTGATGAACAGAGTAAAAAAAATAGAAAACATTTGGTAATATATATTTATCATTAGATTCATAAAGTAAGGCAGTTTCAAAAGTATTTGAACATGAGACTATTGAAACGTGGGACAGAAAATGCTGGATAAACAGTACTTCAAGAGTTAATTGCATAATTATTAACAGTTCTCTATGTCTCTTACCCTCAAATGCACCAAAAGAAATCCAGGAGTCTTACTTAAAGTTTTTTTCTCTTTTTACAAGGGTTTATGTATAGTTGTATTTTAAAGATGCTAAATCTTACAAAGGCATTCACAGTTCTGAACTATAAAGCAGATGGTTATTTCAAATGCTAACTTTGTTCGACAATAAATTCCTAGATTTTGGAAAACAGTGGCAGAAACCCCATCACACCTTCTTCGGTGGTCTCCTCTCCAGCCAAGGGAATGCTGAAGCCATCCTCATACTCCGCAGTCACATTGACCAAGTACAGGGTCTCTGGCTTCAGGTTGTTGAGAACGACGCTGGTGCTGGTCGCTGGCTCCACCACCGTGACCTCGTCATCCCCAGTAGCTTCTTTATAGGTGATGTGGTAGGAAAAAACATTTTCTCCAGCAGGGGACCAGTTAGTTTTAAAACTGTAAGAAGTCACCTCAGAAAAGCTAAGATCCTTTGGAGGCACATAAGCTAAAAAAAAAAAAAAAAAAAAAGAGGAGGACATAGTTTACAATTTTTAAATCTATAAAGCAAACAAACATAGACTTAATGACTGCATGTTTCCGAAATGGCTCATAGTCACTTGGGAGAAGAATGCCACTGAGGCTTAATAAATATTCTACACATGACCATTGAGAGAAGACCTCTCTCAGCCCTACAAGGAGGTCCTGATCATGTGTCTTGACCACCCATAATACTAAGTTATCATATTTAAATGACTAATTAAAATGGAATTTGAATCTTGAGCTTCTTAAGACAAAGCAGTAATGCGATGGTCCTACCTACAAGTGGGATTTTAAATAGTAACAGACCTAAGCAAACCTTCAAAATGTTCCCATTCATCCCTGGCAATCATATACTAACCTTTGGTGGTAAACAGTTTATTTCAAAGTAATAATAAATAAATTTTTCCTAACAAAAGAATATTTATTAAACTAAAACATAGAAAGAGACAGTGTTTAAGGCACACGGCCTGTCCTCAGGGGACAGACAAAGACATTGGAGAGACAAGAGAGTGTGAGGTTATCAACAAAACGAAGCAGTACGTATGACTGTCAAATGACTGAGAGTAATTATAGCACCAGAACAATTAAGAAAGGCTTAATGAAAGAGAGGAGATGAGTAACAATGCTGAAAAAAAGGGAATGTGAACAAATGGGGAAAAAAAAGAAGGATAGGGAAGTCTGGATGTAAGGAATGGTGCACAAAAATAAATTAAAGGTCCAGGACTATGTTCTAGTTGCCCTTGATTCAAAGGACGTAGCTCTGCATCAACCACAAAGTAGACACTAGGATCAGAAACATCTCATGACTCTATAAAGCAAAAATGTCTAGGAGAAAGTCATAGCTCAGAGTTAAATAAACTAACTTTGACAGTTTTCAATAACATAGGAAAGTTACTTTTTCCTGTCTATAAAAAGAATTGAAGAAGCATATTATCCACAATTTTAAAACCAAAAATTCTTTGTGCACAAAGAGATAGCTTTTATTCTATAAAGACTACCAACCTTTTTTCTTTATAGCTGCTAACTCTTGCTCAATTCTAAGGCAGATGGACTGTGTGAGTTCAAAAGATATCCTCTGAAAAGCATCAAAATCTTCCACTGTGAACACATGGGTCTCAGCAGGAGGAGAGGCAATAGCTTCCAATTCTGAGCGGACGGCATCTTTCACACCAACTGCAAAGATTTCAACGTCTGAATTTCTTAGCTTTATAGCAGGATCTCTGAAAGCATCTGAAGATTTGCCATCAGTGATAAGAATCATGACCTTTGGTACGTTGCTTCTTGATCCCTTGCTAGGCACAAATATTTTCTCTCTGACATAAGTCATTGCTTTCCCAGTGTTTGTAGATCCTCCTCTGTAGGGGAAGGTGTTTATTGCTTCAATTATATCTTCAACTTTGGTGAATTTTTCCAAAGTAAACTCAGTATGAGGATCCCGGCTGTACTGGACAAGACTTATCTGTACCCTATTTGGTGAAATCTCAAAACTTTTTATGAGAACTTCCAAAAAGGCTCTAACTTTAACAAAGTTGGCAATCCCGATGCTATAGGAGCCATCAACCAAAAATACAATATCAGCTTTTATATCCACACCACGTGAGCATTCTGTAAAAAGAAAGAAATAAGGTTCAAGAAGTATGAATTAATCACTAAAATATAGCTATATTGTCTTCTTAGTAAGCATGCTCCTTTCAAAGAAAACTATTGCAAATATTTTGTTTAAAACTAAATCTGAATCAGTAAGACATACTATCCAATGGACCTTCACATATTCCAAACTCAGTGATCCACCTGTTGACTCACCCACTTGAACTTTCATTGGCTGAGTCTTCTCCATTATTGAAACAGGTTCACTAGATGTCAGACCCTTCATGGCTGAAACACTGATCTGGTATTCTGTGTCTGCTGAGAGGTCGCGAACACTGAGTGTGGTCGTCTGAGGCCCCACACTCAGAGCATGCTGTCGGCTGCCAGTGGTCATTGGTATAAGGAGGACTTTATAGCCAGTCACTGGGCTTAGGGATGGAGTCCAACTTAGCTTCATGTATTTTGATGAAACTTCCGTGGCAACCAAATTTGAGGGAGGTTCGATAACTAAAAAGTAAGAAGCAGAACAGTGATTAAAAATAGGGGTATGCTACCCTATTAATTAAGGTCTTTAGGTTTGGGCCTTTAATTCCCCTTCTTCAAATTAATCATGAATGTATCAGGAAGAGTTGCCCAACCTTGTTCCACATCCGCCTGGACCCAGCAAAGCAAAGAGACTCGGTGCCAGATTTTTATCAGGGAGCTGAAGCACAGCAAAAAAGCAAAGTCCTTGGAAGAAATTAATGATAGAACATCTGATGCCTAATTCTTCTCTGGGACCAAGATTTCCATTTTGGTTTTGGTATTTTACTCATTGCCTTTATTCTCAGGTATCAGAGTAAGTACTTGATAAATATTTGTTGAATCAATGACTTAAATTCAAGTCTTCAGAAAGGTTTTCCCTTTTAATTATACTATAAGAATAAAAATATAATCTTTAAAAAAGTACTTTCTAGTATGCAAGAAAGATAAACTCAGCAAGTCCAAGTTGACAGGTTTTTTTTTATTTTAAACAGTTTTATTCCCACTTATTTCAAGGTAAGAAAAATAGTTCAATGATGTTCATAATGCCACCAATGAGAGGTGAAACAATGGTTTACAACAAGCTTACCGACAAACAAACATTGAAATCTAAAGAATTTCTATCCTTACTCAACGGAGAACATAGTCGTGTACTTAACAGAAAACATAAAGTACTTGAAGATATTTCAGAGAAAATCTCCAAGTGTTTACATCTGTCAATGGAATCAGTTTCCCAGAAGATACAGTTTTAATTTTTACATCAGCCTGCAAGAAGTAGATGGTAAAACAAACACAAATTTTACTCATCAGCTCCTCAAAAAGGCAATCAGATGTAGTTTTTAAATGATGCCTAAAGAAATAAGAAATGGTGGGAGGGAAGCAATGGATGTGCCAGCTGGAAGTCTGGCCAAATCTTTTGAGTGATTCAGAGACAGTACAGGGAACAGACATCTCAGGCAAATTCCATCAAGAGCGAGAAGGCCATGAACAACACCTGCAACATGGCCTGCACCCGTACAGGGGAGGTTCGAACCGTGACAGAGCAAAAGTTTGGCCTTCCCCTAGTACACGCATACCAGTGAAGGTGAAGAGGAATTAGAATGCTTAACAGATTGAGTAAAGAGAAGTTAACTAGAGAAAAGTGGGATGGAGGATGGATTTTGTACTAATATCAACCAAAAAAGTCAAACAGTAGGCAGTTGAAGCAAAGGATTCAGAACCTATGAAGTAATGAGAAGGAGTTCTGAAACAGAATTAGGGACAATGAACACTGCCAAAATACTTGGGGTTTGGAGACTAAAGAGTTTATGTAATTGAAGATGTAGCTATTTAGAACTTATCTTTAATCACTTGTCAATTCTCAGGCAAAGAGGAGAACAATCATGGAGCTTGTGACTTTTTAACGTCCAAAAGGATGGTTATGAAATGTCTTCTCTTTCTCCCATATATTCAGAAGCAATAGCTTATAAAAATGGGAAAATTTTCCAGATATGGAAGGATCAAATTAACTGATTTTAAAAATATTCTTAAAGCTTTGAAAACATGATGATGGAAAACCCATTTCCTTCACCATTTAATAGAAACAGTGTTGCTATTAGTTTAAGTTGCAGAATGCTAAAATTAATGTCTCCCCAGCCTGTCAATGTTTAAACCAGAGTATGAGATAATTAAAGCAAGTACCTGAATAGCATAATTATATATACTCAACATGAAAAAAAAATGGTCTTAAAGAAAAAGAGCAAATCAAATGTCTAAAAATATCTATACTATATTTTTATTGATTTCAGAGAAGAAGGGAGAGGGAGAGATAGAAACATCACTGATGAGAATCATTGATCATCTTCCTTCTGTACACCCGACACTGGGGATTGAGCCTGCAACCTGGGCATGTGCCCTGACTGGGAATCAAACCGTGACCTCCTGGTTCACACCAACCGGGCTAACAATATTTTTAAGAACTTTACAATGATAGAAATATTTTATCACTTAATGTTCCACTGAGGGTAAAAAAACAGTGCAAATGATATCAACAAGTTGAGTAACTAAAAAACAGTACAAGTGGAGTACACAGTTAGAGAACCACTGGAGGGTATGGTTGAGTAAATGTGCCTCCTCCTTGATACTGTAAAGCTATAATGCTATCAAATAATGAAAAAGGCTAACACACAGAACACTCAGCAGTCCACTCACCTTCTTCTCCACTAATCAATTCACCAAGTTGTTCATCAACACCTGAGCACACCTGGGAGATGATCTCATTCTGAATATCCACAATTGCATCAAAGTTGGCCACGTTGAAAACGTGGTTTAGGGAAGGTGTGGAGGCAATTTGTTTGAGTTCTTTTGCATCTGCAGCTTTAATGCCTTAAAAACGACATGAAAGGGCGATGGTGAAAAGGGAAATGTGCTGAATTGGGGAAGATCTGTGTCCTCTCAGTCTTGCACAAGTGAAGGCATTTTTAAACCTTTATTCAGTCATAAACCAGGATTGCTTTGCTTCGTAACGAATGTGCAACTGTTCAAATGACAAGGACATTTTATAATTTCACATCCAGCGGCCAAAGATGAAAAAACGAATGCTTAGCAAAGCAGAGTGGGCCCTCATCCCAGTCATGCCATCATTTGTCCCTGCCATCTGCAAAGATAATACTTTTTTCTTCCAGACTCCTGAATGAGCTGGATGGAACCCTCTAAATTCTTCAAGGATTACATAATACAGGAAACATAAAAAACACTTAATGATCATACAAGGAGGATCTTTATGAGGGTCATTGGCTCAGCATTCTTTGAAAAGTAGAGCACTGGCCATGAGCGTGAATACCACCTCACCTGATGCATATGGTAAGGGAGTTGGGTGAGAGAGAAATAGACAAGCCAAATTTTTACTCAAAAATTATGTGGCTTGATACTACATTATAAAATGCAATAACATTTTTAGAGCATCCTTCCCTGAGGAGTCAAGCCTTCATCTTCCTAAGCATTACGTATTGAAAAGTTCCTAAATGAAAATAACCAAACTTGGCCTACCCAAAGAGAAAACTTCCACCCCGCTGCTGCGGAGCTCCCTGGCTGGAACTTCCACTTCATCCTGGGATTTGCCGTCCGTAATAATGATTGCCACTTTAGGAAAGCCAACTCTTGCTCCAGCAGATTCCGTGAAAGTATTTTTAATTAGATAATCAATGGCATCCCCTGAAATGAAAGGCAATGCTATATTTACTCACCCTGCTCTATACAATTTTGCCCAAGTCAAAAACTATGTGATTGATTTAAAAACTATTTAACACATGATAATTGCGCAATGCTTCATTTCTTTCCCAAACAGGTCTTTCATTTATTTTCAACAATAACAACATTCATAAACATACCTGTCATTGTGTTGCCACCTTTGTATGGGATTTTTTTAATTGCAGCAAGAAGCTCATCCCTTTGGTAGTACTGGTTTAAGTTAAATTCAGTCCTGGTATCAGTGCTGTACTGAATGACTCCAACCCTTGTCTTCTCTTCCCCGATGTCAAAGGCAGACACGAGAGCAGCAATAAAGTCTAAAATGTACTTGAAATTATTCCTTCCCACACTCCATGAGCCATCCACAAGGAACACTAAATCAGTCCAGGCACTGACAGAGCATTCTGAAATACATTTGAGATATTTTTAAGTGATGCGTTATTAAATCTATCCATCATAAAAGAAATACAAACCAACTTTGCAAAAATATTGGCTCCTCAAGTCATTTTGTTCATGAGGACATATTCACATTGGTCTTCACTCACAACTGACATGCACAAGAGAATATAAAATGTTATTAGCACACACAGAAGTATTTTCAGAGCCTTCATACAGATGCATTTATGGAACTATATTTCTTTAAATTGCTAATAAGAAATGCAAGAACAGCCGAAACCGGTTTGGCTCAGTGGATAGAGCGTCGGCCTGCGGACTGCAAGGGCCCAGGTTCGATTCTGGTCAAGGGCGTGTGCCTGGGTTGTGGGCACATCCCCAGTGGGAGATGTGCAGGAGGCAGCTGATCGATGTTTCTCTCTCATCGATGTTTCTAACTCTCTATCTCTCTCCCTTCCTCTCTGTAAAAAAATCAATAAAATATATAAAAAAAGAAAAAAAAGAAATGCAAGAACAGATAAACAGATAGATTACCTACTCTCCACAAGCATGTGACTCTAGTATTTATGCTATAAACCTATCTATTTTTATAGTCTATGTCCTTCTCTTTTCTCCAAGTAAAAAGTATACAAAACACCTGGGAGATATAAAAAAAGAAATGTAAGCAGTGTTTTTACTCCTTGGTGTTTAGTAATAGATAAATACAACACAACTGCTGTACCATTCAAGCAAATGCAGTTGAGTTGAAGAAATGAGCAAATGTTTTAACATTCTCCTGAATTTTACAATATAATTGTCTAAAGTTTGCAGTGGGTTTGTCTGGAGGGTTCATAAACTCTAACAGGAGTAAAAACAAGCATAAATATGATGCAAGATAGCCATAATATCTTGTTGTCCTAATTATCAATGTATTTGAATTGATAACTAAAATCTGCTTTTACTAAACAAAGATGGGGAAGAATTTTTATTCAAAAGCAAAAATGCACATGGTATCTTTAAATTACTGAAATGCTTTTACTACTCTCTGGTCAAGGGAACAGGTTGGTTTTCATGAAAATCTGTATTCACAAAGCAACACTGTGAATTTTCTGAAGAGGTTTTTGTACTTGCAGTCACTATGTGTGTGTGTGTGTGTGTGTGTATATTATTGATTTCAGAGAGGAAAGAAGAGGGAGAGAGAGACAGAAACATCAATGATGAGAGAGAATCATTGATAGGCTGCCTCCTACATGCTCCCTACTGGGGATAGAGCCCACAACCTAGGCATGTGCCCTTGACTGGAATTGAACCTGGGACCCTTCAGTCTGCAGGCTGACACTCTATCCACTGAGCCAAACCAGCTAGGGCTGATGGATGATTTCAAAAAGGGTTTGCCTTAGAAGAGGAGGAAAATACAAATTGCATGCCCACATAATTTTTGCACACTATATAATAAGCCAATTTAAGTCTATTGAAAAGTCAATGTTTGGCAGAATGCTTTCATCTAAAATAAATATGATGGTTCAGGGGAAATATTAGCATTGTAACTACATACTTCATTTCAGTTTACTAGACATCAGAAAGAATAATAAACAGTGATCTAGAACAAAAAATTCCAGATAAAGGAGACGTTGTGTTCATAATCTTTTTTATTGTCTCCTGGGTCATAAGTCCAACTTTTACAAGGTAGCAAAATTAGAAATCCAAGAAACCCCTTAAGGTCCATTCCACTAAGTCAGACAAAGTAGTATAAAACAAACAGAGGCTAGAACCTGGAAAACCTAGACTAAATGAAATTGCTTTCATTTTATTACAAATGCTCCAACTTACCAGTTATGTCTTACAGAGATTCTGTAAAGGCTACAACTGCCATCAACTAAAGTCATGTAAGTACCCTGGACATGAGCATAACATATACACAGACCTGTAAATACATTTTCATGGCAATAAAATTGCTTTAAACACTATGGGGTCATCTCCCTTCTGTTCCAGCCTTATATTTCTCATATATCTCTAAGCTGCCACCTATTTCTATCCGTTTATCTTTGAGATAATGAGTTAAGTCCAGTGATGAGGTTTGTTTCTCACCTACTGCCAAAATCATGCAGGAAAATTTGGACACACATAAATTCAAAACACCCCCAGTAAAAAGAATCTAATGTAATAAAAGGCTAATATGCAAATTGACTGAACAGCAGAGTGACGGGTCACTATGATGCACACTGACCACCAGGGGACAGATTCTCAACACAGAAGCTGCCCTTTGGTGGTCAGTGTGCTCCCACAGAGGGAGCACCGCTCAGCCGACTCACCACTAGCTAGCAAGTGCAGCGTTGGTGGCAGGAGCCTCTCCTGCCGGCGGGTAGTAAGGAGTGAGGGGTCCTGGACTGTGAGAGCCCCAGAATGTGGGATAGGGCTAAGCTGGAAGGCAGACGTCCCCCAAGGGGTCCAGGATGGCAAGAGGGTGCAGGCCAGGCTGAGGAACCACACCCACACACACACACACACACACACACACACACACACACACACACACCATGCACAAATGTCATGCACCAGGCCTCTAGTATTTAATAAATAAAGTGAAAATTTGGCTAGAAAGTCAAAACATAGATATTTTAACTACTTAGTCATATATTGCTATTATATTGTCTGTACTTCTAAATAAAGCTTATAGAAAATAATATAGAAAGATCAGACTATGTATATAATTGAAACATCTCCTTCATATTACATTTATGACTTCTACAAATCCAAGCAAAAATATGAAGGGAAATACTTACTTTGTATCTCTGTTTTTCCAGGTTTCTTCTCCCCTGGCTTCATAGGACCACCTGTTTGAACTGAGTCAAAAACCTGATTATTAGAAAAGGAAATGAACCCATACAAATACTTCCTAAAAGTAAAATACATACATTGTCTTTCACCATTGTCTTTCAAATGAATGGTCCATGCCTAGCTGGTCATAGAATACAGCCAAATAAGTATTTCTGTGCAACTAAATCATTTTTAGTGAGTATTAGGTATATTTCAAAAAGACACTAACTTTGTTGCTTGGCAAACTTTAATGTTTTTAATAGTTTTCATTCATAACATTCCTACTGATTCCAGAAGCCAAGCTTATAAATCAAGAATGAGTTATTCGTATCCACTAATAACTAGGATCATAAAAATGACTATTCTAGGAAGAATAGTTAATACTGATATTAATTAATTCTTCATGGTTACAGAATAAATGTGAAAGTGGGAGAAACCTTCTGCCAAAATATTAAAAGAATAAAAGTACTTTATATGTGTGCTTACTTGTTAGTTGACCTATAACTGGTACACTTTCTTCTACTTCATCATATGAAGTGATTGTCACCACATACTCTATTTCAGGTATTAGATCTGATAATAAAGTTTCAGTGGTATCAGCTGCAAGGGTAAATTCTTTAGTTGGCCCATCTGGAAATATAGAAAGGAATATATGAATGCAACAAAACATTTTTACATATAACACAATATAATGTAATTCCCAGATATACTCAAAATCTGAAAAAATAAATATAGATTATTTTTCAGAACATCCAAACATTATGTTTTGCTGTTCTTCAAAACCAAAACTTTGAATTCTAGAAACTCAGTAAATAGACTTGTTACAAGCACATCCAATGTTTGGGGACTTAAGGAGTCATCTAGATTAAAGATAGTCCAGAACAGCAAACCAAAAATCTCTTATTATTTTGGAAGACTAATGATAGATAATGAAGTTTTTTATAAATGAGATATAAAGCAGGAAATAATTTAATATTAAAGTATGCATTGGAGGAGAGCAGAGAAAGCAAAAAAAGGGGGGGGTGAAAATTGACTCCCGGAAAACAAGCCCCACAGCCTAAAATTAACGTTTACTGGGAAACAATTAGTGTGGAAGCAATGCATCCTCCATACTCAAAAGGGTGCATACCTTACTGGGTAACCACGCCTCTGAATTCACTAGGTAGCAAACGCTTCAAGGCACAGTATGCATAGTGTTTATTTGCATATTAACCATTTTTATACTTCCCTCTAGATCAGCAGTTCTCAACCTGTGGGTCGCGACCCCTTTGGGGATCGAATGACCCTTTCACAGGGGTCGCCTAAGACCATCGGAAAACACGTATATAATTACATATTGTTTTTGTGATTAATCACTATGCTTTAATTACGTTCAATTTGTAACAATGAAATTGGGGGTTACCACAACATGAGGAACTGTATTAAAGGGTCGCGGCATTAGGCAGGATGAGAACCACTGTTCTAGATTATGTTAAATTTCAAATCAATCAGGAAATACAGTAGTTCCAAAGGGCTAAGTGCCCATAAAGATTTTTAAATTATGTTAAAATTTCATCAAAACATAAATAATCAAAAAAGGTAACAGATGTAATAGAACTCTGAAAAGTACTCTTGGTTTACATGTAGAGCATTGCAGAACCAACCAGGGCCCTCACAGAACAGGAAGACAGCAGGGCTCTGCTGTGTTGGTGGTCCCAGTACCAGCGTGGGGAATTTAGGAGTCAGTGATTTACAACATCTGGAAACAGAATGGATGCCTTTTCAACTGCTTTTTTGTTTTGGAATGAATGAATTAGTTGACTACAAATATATATGGGGAGAAAAGATTCAAAGGAAAAGTAAATTCTTGACCCCTTTTTTAAGTTCTCGGATCATATCAAAAAACAGTTTCCCAATTCCCTGATAAATCGGTATTTAAAATTCCTGGTATTTTTTAAAGCCATAAATAAACACAGCTCTGATAAGTTATATTGACATCATCCATCTCTACTGTCAGTCTATCAAGACTTGATCCTACCACTTGGATGGTGTTAGTGGAAATGGTGATTTTTCCCATTTAATGTTAGAACTAAAAGTTAATCAGCAGAGATTGGTTCCCCACACTTGGGCAATATCATGAACACTAAATACAACTCTTGAGAAACAAAGCCTTCTTTTTTTTTTTTTTTAGACACTTAGCCTGGGATCTATAGAATCCACTCAAAGTAAATTCTTATCTTTTGTCATGGTAGCTCACCATTATCCCAGAATAACAAAATTCCCTTAAGTACTGAAGTGTGTAGGACATGGAGTAAGGTATAGCAACTCACTTTATCACTTGATACGTTACATGTTGAATATTAACTAATTCAAGAAGAATGTTAAGAAGTGAAAACTCTATTTTATAAAATCAAAGATGACCAGCAATATTCTGATCAGGTTAAAAAACAAAGTCCATTTTTAATAACAGCAGCTTAGCACAGCAAACCATGTTAATGAAGCTCAACACTATAAAAATATAACAATGAGTACTAGACTGAGCCCACCAAATATTTGGTGACATTGGCTAAATCTATCAGGTTTTCTAAATCTCAGATTCTTCATAATAAAATGAAAAGAGGGGAAAAGACTGGATTATATTATCTTTAATGTTCCTGATAATAAAACTTACCTGTTGTAGGATCCACTGTTATTCTATAACCCACAATTGGATCAACTGGTCTTGCCCATGACATATGAACAGTATTTTCATCTATTATTTTAAAATTCAAGTCTGAAGGTGGGTCAACTGCAAAAGAGAGAGTGCCTATCAGTTACATTTTCCAATTTCAAAAAATGGTCAATTTAATTAATAAGAATTGTGTTGAGCAAAGCTTACTAAATTGTCTTTGCATAAATTTGTTTCCAACAAATATAAAAGATATCTTGTTGGATAAGAATAAAATTAAAAGCTGACAAGATATGACAAAACATCAGAGAGTATACATATTACAGAAGACAGCACAAAACACTTTTGATTCTTGAGTTGCTAGGCCATCCAAGAATGGCCAGCAAAATCAAGCATACTAGAAACATATTTGGATACAAGTACATACAAGTACAATGAGATCACATATAATAACCACATATGCAAACAATTCACATAACAATTAAAAGAATTTCAATACATGCTGAGTGCAATTTGAATAAGCATGCCATATCACAACCTGCTCACAACCATAGAAGTTCATTTAGAACACTGACGCAATACTTTTTGTCCATAATGTGGAAAAGAATCAATGATATTTTTGGTTCATTCTCTGCATCCAAGTCTTGATTTTTGTTTGACACATCTCAATCTGTGGCAGAGATGAAACTGTATTTTAATGAAAAGATGGAATCATGGGAAATTTAGCACTGTTATGTTTCACAAGGAAATATACATCTAATGTATATTCATACAAACAAATATTCAGATAGTAATGAGATGTTAATAATGTATAAATATGTAAAGAGTGATAAATAGATATTTATAAAAAGAATATTCTGCCCGTTTACACCAATTTGCTGTATGTTTCCAAGGTGTAAACCAACACTGTTCTTTTCCTTTGCAGCAGGCGTACTCCATACTAGAAACGGCATTTTAAATTAAAATGCCAGTATGGTCTTCTACAAAACAATGGTTAATTATGAAAAGACAACACCAATGTATATTTACAGACATTTATTTACAGAACTTAAAGAAAACAGTGAAGAAGGGTCAGCAATCTGGAGACATGACTGCGCATAAAAACTTGGAGAAGTCAATGGAAGGAAAAATCGAGTACAGAAAGAGTTTGCATACAAAACTGTACAGCATCATGCATGTGTCAATGAAATGTTGACTGGTTTTTAGTTTCCCACAATGAACAAAAGCCTCCATGTACAATAGTCGTTACACAAAGACGTCTCCGAAATATTTTATAATGATATTCTCTCTGCAATGTTCATGCCTCATCATGCAGCATTGTACTGACTCACTGTCAGTGCATGGTCAATGCGTTACAAACTATTACTCTTGAAGCAGATTCACAAAGTAAGCAGACTTTCAGCCATACTCTTCTTAAGATATTTAAGTCTGAACGTATTCCTGTGAGTCAGAATTTTTGAGAGATTAAAATCTCTTTGTAGGTTTTCACAGAGGTCAATTGAAATACAGCAGTAGCTTTGAGACATGAGTCATAGAATTTAACTGGGGTTAGCAATTTATGTAATATTAATACATTTTAATGGAAATGAGATAAAGTAAGCAAACGTTTGCTTTAATAAACTGCTGCTTACAACTGTAGGAGATGGCTTTTTGTTTTTATTGGATACACTAGTAATGGAACGAATGTTATTTTCTTACTATCCATACACAGGCAGTGAGATTAGACTATTAATCTACATGCATGGTTTAATTATCCAACATTCTGCTGTCTGTTACCGTATTGCGAGGTTCAGCTGCCATCATCACTTAGTATAACAAGCATGCAACAAATGTTAATAGGACAATAGCTATTAAGAATATCATTATAAAATATTGTTCCAGTAGCAATGGCTCAGGACAAATTTAATGCAAAGGCAGACACAACTGGCCTGAGCATGCTTTAAAAAAAAATCAGTACATGGAAAAACAGTACCACCAACCTTGTAGGAAAATTGACCTGAAGCGGCAGACATTAGGTTAAAACTGCTGAAGGGCAGCAGCGGCCCACCTTGTTGATTTCCAAATGACCAGGATTCCAGAAAAACTGAAAAATTGACTGTTGGGAAAAGTCTTTAACATTTCAGAGGAATTTAAGGTGTTCAAAGAAACCCAGATGTGGTTCTTAGGAATCAAAAGTAAGAAAGAATGGCCAACCAGCATGTGTACAAAGACAGCCCACCCCATTTTTCCTCTTGCCACTTTTATCACATAGAAAACCTTTTAGGATTGCCACACTATGTATACATTTTTGGTTTGTTTTCTTTAAAAAAAAAAAAGATAACTTAATTCAATGCAAAATGTATTTTCATTCATTTTAAAAATATTTTGGAACTAGAGAGCATTATGCTAAGTGAAATAAGCCAGTCTTGGAAAAAAAATAAAATAAAATAAAATAAAAAATAAAAATAAATAAATAAAAATATTTTCTTTTACATAAAAATAATCCACAACTGCCCTTGTATTGTCACAAGCAGCATCTTGTGTTCCCTGAAATACTTTCTAATTGTCTCTTTTCCTTCTCATAACAACCCAGCATGGCAGGCCTTATTATCCCAGTTTCATAGATCAGTCAGTGAAACTGAGGGGTTAACGCAGCTAATGAGCAGCAAAACTTTGATCCCGTGATCTGACTCAGCACATATAATTTTCTTCCATGCTGAGTTAAATGTCAAGAATAAGAAATATTTGAGTAAAATATTAACTTTAAAAAACAATATTTAAACATAGTTAACTATTAATATATACATATATTTCTCTATTTTATAAAAACCATTATTTGATGCCTATTCAATAATAAATAAAGATACTCAGATATCTCCAAATTCTTTACACACTTGTTCAAGTAATTTTAAAACTAAAATGCCTATCTTGATATATAATTCTTTAAAAATAATGTTTTTAATTATGGCACCTAAAAGGCAGAAACATCCAAGAATTTACCAACTGTGCAAAGGTGGATGGATGGATGAATGGGAAGATTAACAGGTGAATGGGAATAGCCTAAGTTTTGGCAAGTATATCAAATGTGTTGAATATAAAGAAAAACTGAGAAAACACCACAAATAATAATCTTGATAAACTAGTAAGAATTTTAATCTAATCTTTGTGATAATAACACTGAAAATGATGCTAAAGTTCTCTAATGGTAGAGAACTTTAGAAATGTGCAAAGAATGATTTTGCTATATTCAATAGACATTCATTTAAATTTTCCATCCAAAGTTAGTATAAATTTAATAATTTTTGTCATGATATAGTTAATTTCATTTGTGTTTCTAAAATAACCATTTGAAAAATTAATATTTCAGACAAGTAATGAATCATTTGTACACATTATGTAATGTGTTCCCTCATTAAACTAGCTAGGTTGACCAATTTTTTAACAAGAAAGAAGCACAGTATGGGCAAACTAGCGCTAAATCGGGACTAGAAGACCTGGGTCTTGTCTTCCTAAGTAACTATGTTAATTGACTAAATTATTCATCCTCTGTGTCCTCATTTTTTCATGTGGTAGAGGAGAGAATTTGAATAGATCAATGATGGTGAACCTTTTGAGCTCGGCGTGTCAGCATTTTGAAAAGCCCTAACTTAACCCTGGTGCTGTGTCACATATAGAAATTTTTTGATATTTGCAACCATAGTAAAACAAAGATTTATATTTTTGATATTTATTTTATATATTTAAATGCTACTTAACAAAGAAAAATCAACCAAAAAAATGAGTTCACATGTCACCTCTGACACGCATGTCATGGGTTCGCCATCACTGGAATAGATGATCTATGAGTTCTCTAGTTTGAAATTTCTGATACAAGTTTGACACAGAGTTATATAAATATATATATTAATTAGCCTCTTCATCTAAACACAAGATAATTAAAGCTTATGGCCTCAACTCACTAATGAATTGGTAATATCAAATTTTTCATTATATATTATAGAGGCCCAGTACACGAATTTGTGCAGAGCCAGCCAGGGGCAGGGGGCCTCAGGCAGTGGTGGGTCAGCCCCACCCCCTGGTGGAACTCTTGGTCGAACTCCCAGTAGAGGGGACAATTTGCATATAAACCTTCTATTATATAGGATAATTCTAGGTCATGCAAAGTACTGGCCAAGTGACAAGGTTAATAAAGTCTATGCTGTGTCTAAAAATTACAAATACTAAAGGCAAAAAAAAACCCCACTTACACCCTTATTTTTATAGGAAAAACTACTGTATTATGGAAAATAAAGTTCCTTGTATAAGTAGGTAGAAGGAAAACAAGATAAGGGTGAGACCCCTTATAAAAGAGGAGAAATGCAAAAAGTGAATGCCAAATCTTTTTTTTAAAATATATTTTATTGATTTTTTACAGAGAGGAAGGGAGAGAGATAGAGAGTTAGAAACATCGATGAGAGAGAGACATCAATCAGCTGCCTCCTGCACATCTCCTACTGGGGATGTGCCCGCAACCCAGGTACATGCCCTTGACCGGAATCAAACCTGGGACCTTTCAGTCCGCAGGCCGACGCTCTATCCACTGAGCCAAACCGGTTTTGGCAATGCCAAATCTTTTAAATAATTATTAAAAAGTACTGGGCTTTCAACATATAAAAAATTAAGTACGTAGGAATTGGTTGGTAAATAGTAGGAATACAAAAATATAAGTATGACTTGCAAGAGGGAAAGAAAGGTAACTATGGCTACTTCAAACTGAAATTAAAATGACAGCAGATGGACACATATGTAATACCCTTTGTAATAAAAAATAAAATAAAAAAATAATAATAATAAAAAATGACAGCAGGAAACAGGGGTGCAACTTAAAATTTTGAAATGGCCCCAACAGAAATATGTCAAAGGAATTCTGTTCCTAGCCCATTGTCCCCAGAAAGGTTTTGGCCACGATTTTGTTAGCCTTTCCCAGGCTCCTGGGACCGTTAGTTGGTCATTAGCACAGAAGCTGTGCCGTCCAGAACAGGAGCCACCTGCCACACGTGGCTCCCAAGCGCTTGAAACGCGGCCAAGTCCAACAAGAAACGCACTGTCAGCTTAGAATACACACTCAACAGCAAAGACTAAGTACACAAAAGATAAAATATTTTACTAGTGGTTTCTATATTGATTATATGTCGAACTGATTATGTGATATTAGGATACATAGTTATGTTAAATATATTATAAAAATTAGCAACTCCTGTTTCTTTCTCCTTTTTGAATGTGACAACCAGAAAACTGTGAGTTACATATGTGGCTTGCATTTGTGGCTCTCAATATATTTCTATTTAACAATTCCAAACTAGAGAATAAAGAAAAAAAAGAATCCTATTAAAATATAATTATTAAATGCTGATGTCAGGTGGTGAGAGACAAGGAAAGACACAGCTTAAGATAGAAAAAGAAAAAGCTGTACCATGTGGAAATAAAAATAAATTAAAAAGACAAAAATGTGCGAAATGTGAAAATAATCAGTAAAAGATAATAAAACGTTCTCTTCAACTGTGCTTTGCTAACCAGCCATTATCCAATTCAGAACTGATTTTTTTCCACTTACATCATTTCCAACCTAATTATTTTACTAAGAATTCTCAAATCTTTCTGATTTTCAAATAACTATTTTCTTAATGAGCAATAACTAGGCCACTTCAGTGAATTATTTAAAAATATCTTTAGTAGGGTTTCTACAGTTCCTCAAATAAACTTCCTTCCTAACAATGACACCGAGAGGAACATTAAAGGCAACCTCATCTGAACATGACTTCACAGAGGCCACTCTGAAGAGCCTCTCCATCCACAAACTATTCATCAGATAAGATGAGCCAGCAAGTTTCTGCCACTTTTCTAAATGTACCAGACATTCTAGAGACTCTCTGCTTTCCCTAATCTTCATTTTTTTGTACCTGCAGTCTTGAAATAGAAAATCAAACACAATAGAAAGTTTTTGAAAATCTCAGTGTTGCCACGAAATAGCTTTCCAAGCTCTAAAGAAGCAGAATTCACCCTGAACAGCTGGCACGTGCAGGGTATGTCTTTTCCCTTACCTCCATCAGGGGCATTTCTTTCTTGAAAAAGAAGAAGAAAAATACTAAGTTGTCTTTTATGCTATTACTCCATTTACCTTGCAGGACAAAAACAAAAACAAACAAACAAAAAACACCCTAGTTTCTCCCGTCTCTTGTGATAACTTAGGGCAGACAGAAGCCCCCACTGGGTTAATATATAGAAATGGCTTGTTTAGCAAAGTCTGAGAAATGAAGACACCAAGTGCACACAAGAAAAAGAAGTGAGGTCGAAAAATCTATCAGAAGCCCTTTCGTTTCCCAGAGGGCAAGGTCACTCAGAGCCATTTTGCAGACCTTGGGGTCAAGGCGACCCATCTCCCAGCTCCTGACCAACTCCATGGGCAGGTCGGATGCTGGAAGCAAGAGCGAGAGGGTGGTGTGCCCACCTGGTCTGGTGTCCGCTGGCTTCCTGGATTGGGAACTTAGGCCCAGATCCAACTTTTCTGCTGGGCGAACCAAACAGCAACAACCCTGCGCCACAGGAACACAATCCGGGCCCGGGATTTCTCCTTGCCACCCATCCCCTGGGGGTCTGGCTGCTACCTCGTTTGTCTGCACCATCCGACACTCCGACCGAGATGCCCACAAAACACACAGACGCACAGAGCCGGCGCGGTTGGAGTCTTTTATTTTGTGTCGTCACCAAGGTCACAGCCCAAGCCTGGTGGTTACCAGCTACTCAAGCAAGCCCGTCCTCGAACCATGGCTCCTGGGCAGCACCTGGAGGTATCCTGTTGGTAGGCCTGGGAGCAGCCGTCGCCCCCTCCCGACGGACAGCTGGTCCTCTTGGAAGGCCGCGGCGTAGGTGGCAGTGTGGACAGCACACCGCAGAGACAAGCGCAAGGAGACCACACAGCACTGTATGGAGTGGTTAGGCAGAATACGAAAGAGCTGCACTTGAGAGCCGGGAAATGGACAAACCTCAGTAGAAAAGGGAGTTTCTCTGGAGGAGAGAAGCCCCAGGAGAAAAAGAGAAGGTGCGGGGAAACAGAAGCTATAGAAGGAGGATTCACTTGTTGTTCTTTTTTTCTTTTCTCTAATTCTGCATTGTCACTGGGGGCGGGTGAAGGGAGAGTCTTTTACCTTCTGCCTCAGTGGAAGACAGGAGCAGGGCGGCACCCAGGATGGCGAGCGCTGGGGGAAGCCTGGTCTTCATGCTTGGCCTGGGCCTCGGAGCTCACAGCCACATGAAGGGATCTGAGGGAAGAAGCAGTCACTGCATCAGAACCGGGTCTGGGCAGGCCTAGAACCAGGTTAGAACTGGAGCCGGGCCCTGGGCCAGGACCCAACCAGATCTGCCTCAATAACCACCAGGGCCGAGCCCAGCATCTAATGAATGGGCTTATTGTGAAGCGGTGGAAGTCGAGTTCATCTAGAGCAGCTTAATCATGGCCCTAAGAGGGAGTTCAAGTTTAAAGAGGGTCCTGTTTTCCTCGAGGCTGGTCCTGCTTAGCATCCAGGGTGAAGGCCCGACCAGACCCCACATGACTTCAGCCTGCCTGGGTGATGGCTAATTCAGAGGTCATTTTATCCCTGACTCAACCAAATGTCTCTTCCAGCTGGGGATTTTATTTGGCCGGCCACTTTTTCCTAGCTGCTGAACTCTTTAGGTAACTGTACTTTAGTGGTCTCAGGGCAATTTGGAAAAGTATAATAAACCTCTTTTACTCTCTTTTTTCTTCATTTTGTTCTGTCTGCAAATATGCAGCTCTTTAGGTCTAAAATGGATTATACAGAAATAGGAAAGGTCCAACTGAAACCTGATCCCCTACTAGCTGTGTTGTCTTCACATCTAATAAATCCTGCACCAAAATTAGGGGGAAACAACTCTAAAATACATAATAAAAAAGGGACACGCAATAGAAGAGACAAAACACTCCTGTTTCCCGAAGATATTTTTTTATAAAAATTCTCAGTAATAATTGCTCTTTTCATTTAGCTGTTCATTTATTCCAGGAGATTACAGGTATGTGTTCTCCAGAGAAGAGTATGTCCTATTCTGATTCTTCCTGACTTTGTAACTAGATTATTAACTCCTTAAAGACAAAGAGCCTTATTCATCTTTTATAGTCCCCAGCACACAGTAGGTGCTTAACCCATGAGGGTAGAAGGGAATCTTCTAAAACATTCTAAGGTCCAATCCAGAGACAAAAGTTGCTAGCAATGAACTCAGCTGGGAAGCTGCCAGAGGTAAAACATAAAAAGAGAGTTGACTCTGGATACATAAATTATTGTAAGGCAACAAACGAGGCCTCATGCTCAGGAATCCAAAAATGAGCCAAAGGTCGAACCCTCTCTGAGAAAAGAACCTGACAAGCTCCAACCAGGTCTTTCCAAATAATTGGCACAATGTATTAGGGCAGCTTTCCTCGGCCTGAGCGTAAATTGCATTTTAAATGTCTGCTAAGCAGGCATGCCAAATTTGCCTGGAGCACTTTTCTATGAAGCCAAAATTAAGATTTTGGCAATGCTCTGGAGATCCAAAGGCTCTAGCAATTTCTTTCTCCCTAATTAACAACAGTTTGACATTTCTAACCCTCTTCTACATCAGTGAAAAGCAAGAAGTGAAACTGGCCCATTGTTCCCGTCATCTGGCCTTTACTTTGCTATAATAATTTCCAACTCAGTTGGCAGTCGTGCTCGCGAAAAGTTAAAGGCTGACAATGTACCCACCGAAAAGCTGTGTGCAGATATTTTTTAAAACCGCTAGTCTCCACCAAAAAAAAAAAAAAAGCGCAGTGGAGGCACTTTTGTCTGGGTCTAGAGCGCCACCTATCGGGTGCCTGATTCAGTGGCAAGAATGAATCACATTGCGGCCGGGTATCTGAACATAGTCAGTTCATCCAGCCAGCCAGGCATTCGTCCATATGTCTTTTTCTTTTTTCTTTCTTTTCTTTCTTTCTTTCCTTCTCTTTCTTTCTTTCTTTTTTTTAGTTTTCTCTCCTTTTAACCAAAACATTTATCCGAATGCTTAGCAACACTTCATTGAGCATTCTCAGACATAAATGTCTGAAAGCTGCCGTCCCTACGTGGCAGCGAGGATTCCCTCCCTTCACCCTCATGAATGAAAATGAGTCAGTTGGGGGGCGGGGGGGAGCGGGGGGAATCTTAAGGGATATGTCTCCTTCTGCCTATTTTTCCCCTCCCAACCCCGGTGGAAGGGGCCAGTTCCTTAACTTCAAGTTTAAAATGGAAATAAAACATCCCACCCCCACCCCGCGGGGGTCCTTCTAGAACCCCTGCTTGTCATCTACCTCCTCTGCCCACGCTACCTGGACAATAGTTGGCCAAGGGCGAGCTTAGCGCTCATTTCCTTCCTTGCCCCCTCCCACTCCCAGCGTACCAGCACGCGTTAGAAGGTCCAGGCTGAGGTGGGGGGCAGGGGTTCCTGGAAAGCCCCAAATGGTCACCGGAGGTCCTGAGGATGCTGGGTTTGAAGTACCTTTTCTGTTCCCTGGCTCCCGGTCTCCGGTCCGTAAATGAACCCGGCGCCCACACTCCCTGATCCCTACAGCCTCTAGGATTTGGGATGGAAACTACCTAAGAGGTTCCACTGACCCCGGGCAGGGCCTTCACCAATGCACTCGGGAAAGAAGTCGGGAGAGGGAGCTTTCTCCGGGCCAAGGCTGAGTTCCCTAGAACCAGACCAACCCGCCATCGCGGACGCTTGGAAAGGCAGAGGAACGAGCCAGAGCCCTCGACCAGGAATCTGTCTCAAGATGCCACCCACACCCGCGCAGCCACGACCGACGAGTGCAGAGCACTCAGCCGGCCCTCCAAAGAATTCCACACCGTGCGTCACCAAAATACCTTCCCTGCGCCCGGCTGCACCACGGCACCCCCGGCAACGCTGCAGGCGCGAGACAATGAGGGGCCGGTGGCCACAAAACCGGGCGCGCCCTGCATTGAAATCGACAGCATCTATAGATGAAATCGCTCTACAAAGAGAAACATGGAACAGGGTACTGGACGCACACACCGCCGCCTGCCTCCGCTCCTAAGAAAAGCTACAATTCTTTCTCTCGCAAAGATACAAATGAATCACAAAACCCAAATACACCTGGCAGATCTCAGGCACATCTCCACTTGTACAAGTCCAAACGGTCCTCGCCCGGGATCCTGAATGGCTTAGGGCGGAGCAAGCAACAGGCTAGAAGCAAGTTTCCCTCGTTATCGCTGGGAGGGATGGGGCCGGAGAGAAGGGCGAGAAGCCGAACCGACCTGAGGCGGCAGTGATCCAGGTGCAGGCGGCGGCGGCGGCGCTCCGAGGTC